TCGGTTGGCATCTGGAAGGTCTCGAGGATCCCGATGATCTGGAAGGTCTCGGGGATCTGGAAGATCTCGAAGATCCCGAAGATCTGGAAGGTCTCTGTGTTCTGGTAGATCTCGAGGATTCAGGGGATCAGGAAGGTCTCGGTGTTCTCGAGGATGCCGAGAATTCGGAAGGTCTCGGTGAACTTGAAGATTCCGAGGATCTGGAAGGTCTCAGTGATCTCGAGGATTCCGAGGATCTGGAAGGTCTCGGTGATCTCGAAGGTTCCGAGGATCTGGAAGGTCTCGGTGATCTGGGAGATCTCGAGGATTCCGAGGATCTGGAAGGTCTCGGTGATCTGGGAGATCTCGAGGATTCCGAGGATCTGGAAGGTCTCGGTGATCTGGGAGATCTCGAGGATTCCGAGGATCTGGAAGGTCTCGGTAATCTGGGAGATCTCGAGGATTCCGAGGATCTGGAAGGTCTCGGTGATCTGGAAGATCTCGAGGATCCCGAAGATCTAGATGGTCTCGGTGATAAGGTATACCACAAGGGTTTTCAAAAAGGACAAAAGGAAAACTCACTGAGTAGCTAGAAGCTATTTCAGCGAGGTTACAAGTTGGTTGGAAAGTCGTTGACCGCATCTTCCTTTATATACTTTCTAATGTTTTTCAATAGCGAGAAAATTATCTTATCTGTCGCGCCCTTCAGCGGCATAAATTAAAATTGAGATTAATTATTTATTGAGATTGCGCCAACTTCATTACGCTGGTCAGCGCTTCCCGAGATCGCGCTCGGTGTGGCGAGCGTCAGGGACGCCACAAATCATTTTTATGTCTATAATCCATTTGTAGAATTTGATCGTTTTGGCTATCTGTGCCAATTTTGCCATCGACTTCTATTGATGCAAGTCCCTCATACTCTCCTATCATTTGCTGATCGCAAAAAGGAAGCGTTTCGAAGTCCTGTGTATGAGACTCGCTCAAAACACTAGATTGTATAATTGAGTTGTCATTAGACTCTATACTCGTGTCTTTTAAGGAGAACTTGTCGTATTTAGTGTGACTTATGGACATGTCATTATTTTTAGAAGGATCCACGTAATTAGGAATCGTCACATCGCGGGGATTTGAGGCTAATTTTATTTTTCCGTCGAGATGATTTAAATGTTGTAATACAAACAAATCAATCCGCATTGGAAGTTGATTTGCAAATGAACGATTCTTCAGATCATTAAACTCTGCCTCGACTGATGAAGACGTTGCTATTTTTGGACCTGTTCCAAAATGTGATCGCATTATTCCAGTCCAAAGTGGAATAAACGGCACCAATTGTTTTGTCAGACGAAGAGCGAAGGCCGGATTATAGCATCCGTTTGGACGATTTCCTTCCATGCATGTTTTTGCAATTCTTTCAGCAGAACTGTATAAATTGTCAGCCCACTGCTTCCAGTTCACGCTGTCTATACATGCGTCCTCTGAGAGGACTTCTTTATTATCCTCATCCGTTATCCTGGGTTCTGCATCATCCTTTACCCCAGAGAAATCAAAATTATCTCCTTCGATAGCTTTGTCAAGTACTTGCATGCGTATTTCTGACTGCAACGGTAAATCATCTTTCCCATTTCCGATAAACTCACTTAAGCATACTATCAGGACTGATTCGAGAAAATAAGCTACATTCATAAAATCACTCATTTGATAAGCTTGTGCAATACACCGTAAGTATAATTGTCGTCCTGCATTACCTGTCGACTTAATACAACTCCATCGTGATACCATGGCAAATATGTGACTTACATCTAGTCGAATGTATGTTGTCGGTATATTTGTAGGAATCTGTTTAATAGCTGCATAGCATCTTTCTAAGTAGTCGGCTAAACTGCTGCAACTACCTAAGATTTCTGCTACAGCATTAACCAATGCTCGTCCAAAATCGCATACAACGATAGGAGGACGGGGTAAACGTTTCGACAGAATAATGCGAAGAAAGTTAGCGATTTGAAATGACCGTTGGTCACTGGTTACCATTTGAAACACCGGTACACTGCCCTCATTGGTAACTATCATGCATTGAAAAAGAAAAATATGAGGGTCATCTTTGTGATCATTTTTTGCAATACTTCCGGTAGCATCAATCGTCATAATGGCATTTGGATTGTTTTTGCACCGAGCAGTATAGATCTGTTCTTGCTCTGGTGTCCAATATATGCAATGAAATTTCAGCAGACCGATATTATGTATAACCCCCGCATGATCTCCAACTGTTGACTCTTTCAACAAGTTGAGAGGACGAAGCGCAAACTCCAGCCCATACATTTTCAACAATTGTTGCTCCTTTGCCTTACAGAGAACGTTATCTTTTGTGATTATCGACGGATTTTTTCCTCCAAAATCTTTGTATTTTCTCGCCATTTCTCGCCTAATAACGACAGCACCCTTTTTTTGATCGATCATTTGAGTAGCAATCTTTTCTCGACGTTTCCCTCTCAGTTGTCTTACTTTAATATTAGTATGCTTATCAGGTTGGATACCGTCTATTCTGCATGAGAAAATTACGTCAACGTCTTTCATCGGGGCTTTCTCTAATCGACCGGTTATTTGGGCTTTGCACTCTGTACAATAACCAGTGAATGTCGAATAGTTGGCTGCAGTCGCAGACGGAGTTGTTATGTTGTTTTTAAACGCAAAAACACAATCCGTTGTTTTATGTTGCAAGCATATTTTTTCGGCTATGACATCAGCCCATCCTTCTTGAAATTTCCAGTACACTCTACCAGAAGAAATCATTTTTTTTCGGGGCAATAGCTTGCCAATTTTGTGAAGATAAAACTAATTTAATTTTTTTAGCGAAATGATTATCCGATGCAATGTGACTTTCATCAGATAAATTAGTATCCAAAGAAAAATCACTAATATTGATTACTTTGGTTCCCTTTGTGTCAATATTATATGTTCTTGCGACAAGGGTTCTAAATCCGTTACGATCCTCATTTACAATCGTGTAAATATGACGTGGTTCTATATGCGAGCCACACAATGCCATGCGGTTGGCAATGCGAATAAACGTTTGATGTGACGGAGGTAATATTTTCCCATTGTTATCAAGTGTTCGGCAATCGCTTTGGAGCAAAATGTTTTGCAGTTTTTCCTTGTCATATGGCATTGTTATCGGCATAAAATTTTTCAAATATTATATGTTAATATTATAATATTATATGTTAATATTATAATATTATATGTTAATATTATAATATTATATGTTAATATTATAATATTATATGTTAATATTATAATATTATATGTTAATATTATAATAAATATTATATGTAAATATTATATTATAAGTATTCCTAAGATTAAGCTGTAATGTAAATGCATACGTCCAATCAATACTTTTGTACCATTATATTTAAAAAATACAAAAACAAAATCATCAAAGCTGTGGATTCCAGAGCTTGAAAATTATTGAAGGCGCTAAACGCGTGGTGAGGCTAACATCGAGATCTGCTGTACGGACAATGCGTAACGCGGCTGCCGGAGATCAAGAGTATGGTGATTTCCAGGGACCGGACCAGGAGAGGGGGAAACGTCCCCTCCATGCCGCCGGGCTCTCAAGCAGTCCCCACTTCGCGTCAGCCGGCCGCGCGACGCGCGCCCAGAACTGCGTGCGGAATTGTCTTACATTAAGCAGTACTGTCCAAAATCGAACAGCAACAGCATCTCATACTCGATACTCGAAAATACGCGTTTTTCGAACAAAATAATTATTTAAAAAATTTTCGATTCCTTGTAATCATCAAAACTCTTTGGAAAGGCGTTGTGCATGCCCAAAACTATACGATAATTGTTTTAGAATAAGCAGAACTCTCGAAAACTGACCGGCATCTCACTCTTAAATTCGAAAATACGCGCTTTTCAGAGAAAATAATTATTTAAAAAATTTTCTAATCGTTGTAATCATGAGAACTCTTTGGAAAGGCGTCATTCATGCCCAGAACTATACGAGAATTGTTTTACATTAAGCAGAAGTGTCAAAAATCAAACAGCATCTCACCCTTATACTCGAGAATACGCGTTTTTCAGAGAAAATAATTATATAACAAATTTTCTAATCGTTGTAATCATGAGAACTCTTTGCAAAGGCGTTATGCATGCCCAACATTGTACGAGAATTGTTTTACATTAAGCAGAACTGTCAAAAATCGAACAGCATCTCACCCTTTTACTCGAAAATACGTGTTTTTCGAGCAAAATAAATATTTAAAAAAATTTCTAGTTCTCGTAATCATGAGAACTCTTTGAAAAGGCGTTTTGCAAACCCATAATTATACAAGAACTGTTTTAGAATAACCAGAACTCTCGAAAATTGACCGGCATCTCACCCTTATATTCGAAAATACGCGCTTTTCAGAGAAAATAATTATTTAAAAAATTTTCTAATCGTTGTAATCATGAGAACTCTTTGGAAAGGCGTTGTGCAAACCCATAACTATACAAGAACTGTTTTAGAATAACCAGAACTCTCGAAAACTGACAGGCATCTCACCTCTATACTCGAAAATACGCGTTTTTCGGGCAAAATAATAGTTTTAAAAAATTTCTATTTGTTTTAATTATCATAACTCTTTGGAAAGGCAATGTGCATGCCCACAACTATACGAGAACTGTTTTAGAATAAGCCGAACCCTCATAAATCGATCGGCGTCTCACCTCTATACTCAAAAATATGCTCAAATTGCGGTTTTGATTTTAAATCAGTAGAACTCTTGTCCAAACCTATTTAAATTGCAGAACTATGCGAGAAACAACTGTTCGATGCTCAAATATTTGAAATTTGATGAGATGCTAGTATGTCGAATGTGAAGTTGGCATCTCATTTCTATAAATCGCGATTTTAACGGTAAATCAACAGAACTATTGATGAAACCTATCAGGAACTGTAGAACTATTCTGGATGCAAGTAAATATAACGTTTATTTATGAGATTCTAATAAATGATATGCCAACTTCACAGACACGACTTTTTCAGTGATCGGTCGACCAGAGCGAGGTGCATCTTTGACGTTAAAATTTCCAGATTGAAAACGCTTGAACCAGCTTTGTGCAACACGTATTGATACAGCATCATGTCCATAAACATCACAAATTTTTTTAGCTGCCTGAGTTGCATTCTTCCCTTTTTTAAAATAAAATTTTAAAATGTATCGAATTTCTTCTTTCTCTTCACTCATTTTCAAGATGCAATAACTTTTAACTGAATAGATAAATATCACTACTTTTTTGCTACTTTTTCTTTATGATATGTCACCTTTCAAACGCACACAAAGTATTGACAGATCCGATTAATATTATCAAGGTTATGCGATTCTAATTCTATCTGCCGGAAAATACGAAGAAACTTTTTCCCCAACCCAATATATATAATAAACACTGGGTGTAGGCCGAGTCGGCCTTACGAAAAACCGCCGAGACCACTGCCGAAAACCGCAGCCGAGCCGCCACCGGAGGAGATCCTGCGACCGATGGGACCCTTGACAGCTCCACCAGTCAAGGTAGAGATCGAACCCGGCTTGATTGTGGAGGTACCGCACTTCGCGGTACATGTCAGCCGGCGATATAAACCGAGGACTCCGCAGGGACGATGGATACTCCGTTTTTCCGGGGACGGAAAACTGCGCTACAAGCGCAAAATAAACTAGAATCCGTCCACTTCAACCGAGAGCCAGACGTCCGACCGACCGACCAACCGTCCGATCCACCGCTCCGCAGATCGAGCGTCTAGTGTGCCTCAAATTCAGACACAAATCTAAGGGGGGGAGTGATGTAACGATGCACCCCGTGCACCCCCTTAGATGTAATATATTCCCGGCATGCGATCCGCCGGAAGCTGCCGCCCGGCAGAACATCCGCCGGGCAGAGGCAGGGGCGCGGTGCGCCCACATTTTTAAATTGTTAAAAACAACCCGAATACCACCGAGCGTTGCCGACGGGCCTCGATTCGGACCGGCGAAAAAAACCCGCGCTCGGCGCGCACCCCGAACCCTTCCGAGCGGGCCTCCGACCGTACCGCTTCCCGTAATCCGTTCAGAAAGGGTAATACCGCCGCGCGCCGGCGCGGGCAATTAGGCCGGTATAAAAAGGGCCTGTTCGGTGTAATAAGTACCTTTTTCCGATCCGCTCTCATCAAGAGTAGCCGCTCCGAAACCTAGACCGCTCCGAAAATTAAATCTCGCTTTTGAAAAAAAGAGGTAGAGTGAAAGCCAAGATCACTCCGTCCGATCTTGATAAAACCGACCGAAAAACAAGGAATCAGAGAGAACTCCGATTCCGTCGAGAGATCTTGACGACCGGTCTAAAATCCGACCTCCAAAAACGCAAGTGCATTCTCACGGGGTAGAGAATAGAGCTGCCTCGGACGAGTCGCTCTCGCCGGCACTGCGTTCCCGCAAAATCCATCCACACGGGACTAATAATTTAAATACCACGAAATCGCGTCGATTAAATTCGTGGAAACCTAGCGTACTTAGTAAGAAGCGCATTAAAATATAATATAATATATATATATATATACAGGGTGAGTCATTTTAAGTGACGGACTAAAATTTCTCGAAAACTATAGGAGATACAGAAAAATGTTTCAAACAAAAATTGTAGGGTGTGTAGGGGGACATAAGATGGTAGCATTGGTTTGACCTTGGAAAGTCATTTGAAGGTCACATAAAAGTCACCTTCAATTTCTTAAATTGAACCCACTATTTTTCATTACATATTCTTGTAGCTTATCTCGAGAGCTTTCCAAAACACTACAGACAAATGTTTTTTCATTTACGATATAAAAATGCAAAATATCTCGTAAAATATTTAGTTTTCGGTAGTCTTACCCTAATACTTTTATGCACAGGATAATGAGACAAAACTCTTGGTGCAAAGAAAATGCATGATTGTTTATAACAAAAAGTGCATTGCAAATTACACATTTTTTATCATAAACAATCATACGTTTTCTTTGCACCAATAGTTTTGTCTCATTATCCTGTGCATAAAAGTATTAGGGTAAGACTACCGAAAACTAAATATTTTACGAGATATTTTGCATTTTATATCGAAGTACTGCAAACTTTGAAGCCTTATAACTCAAAAAGTACTTAATGAAAAAACATTTGTCTGTAGTGTTTTGGAAAGCTCTCGAGATAAGCTACAAGAATATGTAATGAAAAATAGTGGGTTCAATTGAAATGAAGGTGACTTTTATGTGACCTTCAAATGATTTTCCAAGGTCAAACCAATGCTACCATCTTATGTCCCCCTTCACACCCTACAATTTTTGTTTGAAACATTTCTTTCTGAAGAGTGCTGTTTTCGAGATATTCGAGTGCATCGATTAAAACGGCCCACCGTGTATATATATATATATATATATATGTATGTTAAACGCATAATTTGAGACATCTTTTATTTTTATCGTAATTGTATACAATATAATTATAATAATACATCCACAATTACCAAATTTTTTATAAGGCAATTATTCTGAAATTACATAACTTTTAATATACAATGCATATTTTGGAGACTTTTATATATATGTAATAAGTAAATACTTCGGGGACAGGTCTCGCATTATACAATTCATATAAATAATAGAAATTTTTACCTTGTCCCCAAAGCATGCGTTTAAATTTGAGGTCTTCCTTATAATAAGCGCATACTTTGAAGACCCTTTTATATATGTAATAAATAAATACTTCGGGGACAGCTCTCGAATTATACAATTTACATACACAATAGAAATTTTTACCTTGTCCTCAAATGCATTTAAATGCATGCATTTAAATTTAAAGTTTTTCTTATAGTAATTGCATCCTTTGAGGACTACTATGCTACGTTATATACTTTGAGAAATATATTGTATTTTATATATAATAATACGAATACGCATTCGAGGAGAGTTCCTGAATTACATAATTATACGATGAAAATATTTGCATTGTCTTCAATACATATTTAAATTGAAAGTTTCCTTATAGCAACCACATATTTAGGATAAACATAGGATTATATATAGAATGTTTGATAAAAATTAGATCAATGCCCGTAAGTGGGACGCAATAAATTGGACAAAAATGTTTTTTACAATTTTGCAGTTTCTATAATGACTATTAAAATATAAATTAAAAAGTATCGGCAAGTAAGCACGCGTTTTGCGTAGCTAAATGGGATATATATTCTCTAGATGTGCTAGCAATGAGTTGCACAATAATGAAAAAAGAAGAGTCGAAAAATGCACGATGAAATTTTTCATGTGACATTTGCTGCTGACATATCTAGAGTCCTAGAAGACACATTCCACAGTCTAGGCGCGCAAAACGCGCAATCATTCACTAATCCTTTTTAATTAATATTTCAATTATTGCGAAAATTACAAAATGGTAAAGGATTTTTCTGTTCAATTTTCTATGTTCTATACCACTCATGAGCGTTGGTCCAATCTTTATCAAACATTCTGTATATAATCCTCTAAGTATGCGATTGCTATCAGAAAACTGTCAATTTAAACAAATATTTTAGAGACAATGTAAATATTTTCATCATATATGCGAATTATATAAACAACTCTCTCCGAAATATGGGTATTCGTTTATTATAATATAAAATACAATAGTATCCCCTCAAATCTATAATATAATATAATAGTCTTCAAAGTATGCGTTTATTATAAGGAAGACCTTAAATGTAAAAATTTCTATTGTATATATGAATTGTATAATTCGAGAACTGTCCCTGAAGTATTTATTTATTATATATATATATATACATATATGTATAACCTGTACAGTATAAATACTTCGGAAAGAACTCTTGAATGATATATTTTGCATATACAAAATTTTTACCTTGTTCTTAAAGCATGCGTTTAAATTTTGTATATAATAACTATATATTTTAAGAGCTTTTCTTTCTACACTATTAAAGTTGTCTTTATATTTTTAGTTTAATATTATATTACAAATAGCAATTAATTAATTAATGCTTAATTTCACTTTAAATAAAAATATATTTTAAGTATCTTCTTCGATTAGAACAAATAAAATTTTGAATTTTTTTTTTATTTACAGATCAAAGGTTAATGAAGTTGTAAGAAAAAATAATAATAAAAATTTGTAGTACCTTTATTCAGTATCTTGTATTTAAATTATATAGGAAAGCATTATAAGAAATACAAATGATTGAAACTTAAATTTAAATAATACACATAAGTGTTACGTATATCATTAAACTAACGTTGCGAAATTATTCGTCGTATTATAAATTTTTAAAATAAAAATATATTTAATTATGAAAAAAAATTCATCAATATCATCAAATATTGCAGTTTTATAAATAAAAGTTAGTAGCATCTTCATAAATAAAAAATTAAAATTTTTTTTACAAATAATTAAAAATGAAACAAACTTTTAATATTCTAATGTATATAACATTATAAAATAATATAATATGTAAAATGTTCAGTATTGAAGCAAAATGTTGCAAAAACATGTTACAATATACCATATAAAACAATATGTAAATTTCATGCTGTTAGATTGTAATGTTATAAAAATATAACAACAAATTTGCTTGTATAAAAATAAATTTTTGCACTTAAAATATTTTTATATTTAATGTGAAAATATTTTATTTAGTTTAAATATACGTAAAATTAATTATTAAGTAAAAACTTTTCTCTGAGTATGTATATCATTTTCTTATTAATAAACTATTTAATAATTATATTTTTGAAGTTTTCTTAAAATTAATATAATTTGAGTACATTTTATAATGAATTAATCAGATGTTAGAATAGATATAATTTTGAGTAGATAAATAAAATAAATAAATATGCAAAAGTGTAAAATTGGAAAATAAAAATAAAGGAAAAGAAAATTTCATAAAAAGATGTAAAAGCAAAAATAAACACAAAAGGAAATACAAAAGAAAATTTTAAGAAGAGTAAGTATGGAAGAGCGGAAGAACATAAAATAGAAATAATAGAGAAATAGCGAGAGAGAGAGGGAGAGAGAGAGAGAGAGAGAGAGAGAGAGAGAGAGAGCCACTGGTTTGGACATGCTCGTGAAACTGAGGCTACGGCGCACAATGATGCCAGATTTCGGATCCGGTAGCATGCGGTATCATGATTCACAAGCGTGTACATACTCATGCGCTCGAGATTTCGGGCATCGTCGGCCAGTGGAAAAACACATCTTTTGTCTTTTTCTTTCTCGAGTTGTATGCGAGACTCGAAATCTCGAACTGGCGAATTGGCGATGCGACGTGAAATATTTACTATTAATCTTTCTCTTATAAACTACTATATATTGTACAACATAGTAACATATGCAAAAATAATTTTTACACA